TGCGTCTAATTCCAATAGCAAACGCTTTAGATTGCTTTTGGTTTGTAAATTGTACGGCTGCCAGCTGTCTTCACTGCGCCCAACAGTCTCTAGCAAACGCACACGAGATTCCTCAATTAAAGACTCCAGCGTGCTGCGTAAGAGGCCCTCAAGATGGTAGGAAAGGTCCAAGCCGATTTCAGTTAGCTGTAAAGGGCAAGCAGTGAGTGAAGAGAAAAGGGTAATAGTACTTTGTTTTGAAATTAGCTTGGGCTACGCACCTTTGCACACGGCTTGCGTATGCCCTCAATACACTTTGCAACAGCGTCTAGGTGTGTGCCTTTTGTAAGATAATGCTTTATTAGTTGACTGGCAAAGTACTGCAGTTCCGCATTGCACCAAACAACGAGCGCTGCAAACAGAAACAAAAACCTATAAAATAACGCTATTCATATTTATCCCAAGCACCACCTACCGCTCACACATGCCGGTTGTGGCTCGAATGCACTCAAAAATTCGCAAGCCACCTGCGTCAAGTCACAGAAGAATAACTCAGATATTTCTGCGTTATTGCGGCGCGCCTCTCGCTGTGCTGTGCGTAGCGCCATTGTGGCCACTTTAAGTAGCGTGCCACAAGCCTGTCGTGCGCGTCCTATATCGACAAGTATTTTTAGCGAACGCCGCGATGCACGCAGCGTCACCTGCAGATTGCGACAGTGACAATTGGAAAGCTCCTGAAGCAGCACATCGGTAAGTTGTGTTTCTAGTGCCTTCACCTTCTCGGCGATTTGTTTTGCATTTACAAAATTTGCATCCTTTGTTAAATATTCTTGCGTACGTTTTATGAGCGCTTGCGCATCTTCGAAATGTCTTTGTGCAATAAGTGTTTGTATTTCTTCACTGGCAATCGCAATCCATTCGGGGCCATAGTTTTCTACTTTGCCAGCTTGAGATTCAGTTGGACTGAGATCGGAGAGCAGCGACTTAGCGTCACTGGGTGAATCTTTTTGCCTGGCTTTTGGTGGCTGTGGCGCTGGACCCTTTTTGTTCGCTTTCTTTTGCTGATCAAAACGAAAGGCNACTTTGCCAGCTTGAGATTCAGTTGGACTGAGATCGGATAGCAGCGACTTAGCGTCACTGGGTGAATCTTTTTGTCTGGCTTTTGGTGGCTGAGGCGCTGGACCCTTTTTGTTCGCTTTCTTTTGCTGATCAAAACGAAAGGCTACTTCTAATTTTTCAATCCATTCCGTCTATATAGAGATTGCACATCATTGGTTAGTGCATAATGTTTATAAATATTAAATTCAATTTAAAAGTGGCATACCTTGCCTGCAGCTGTGACACTTTGAAAAATCTTTGAGCCATCTGGTGTTATTATATTTATAGCATTGCGAACGCCATCTAAATCTTTAATATTTATTACAGCAATCTTCTTGGGATCGTACTCTGTGAGAAACTCTAAGCGCCTGTAAAATGAATCTTTGTTTTAGTTGGCTGCCATTGCTCCATTTTTCTTACATACTTATCATGTTTCACTTTACATACGATTAGCACATCGTTGAATAAAAAGAAAAATACTCGCTGTATAGGCCTATAATCATTTGCATCCAGCTCAATAAGGGCACCCTCGTTTAGAAAAGTTTTGCCCTCAAGATTGCCATTGAAACCCTGCACCATTTCCTTTACAGCGCGTGTAGCATGGCTATTCTCCACTTCCTCTTGCGTAGGCTGTTCTTCACCTTCTTCATTGGGCTGGGTATTACCTGGGGTTTTCTCATCTGTAAGTGAGGCAAGTATGTTGCGCTGCTCGATAAGAATATGCGACAACTGATACATTTCGGATTCGAGATCTGGAGAAAGTGAATGTTTCAGTTAAGAATAATATTCTCATGACATGCATAATTACGAGAAATTTCCTTTGCAGTTTCGATAAATTGCATATAATTGGCGTATACAGACTTTTTCAGCGTTGCTGACGTCTGGTCGCTGTACACTTGAATGTCCTTCTTGCGCTGTTGCAAATCTGCGCCGCCAACACATTCCTTCACAAGCTGCTTGGTGTCTATAAATGAACGATTTGGTTAGGAACATGATGCATTTCTAATTCTTTGGTTAGAAGATAACTAGAAACGATTTAAAAAAAAATCTTTATTCCAAAATTAGTAACTCACATTTGTCCACACTGANACATTTCTAATTCTTTGGTTAGAAGATAACTAGAAACGATTTAAAAAAAAAAATCTTTATTCCAAAATTAGTAACTCACATTTGTCCACACTGAAGTCGGGTTTATCAAAATCCTTGATTACCTCTGCCATTTTCGGTGGATCATACAGAAATTTGTGATATATCACTTTTGGTTTAATTTAATAGGAGCTAAAAAAATTGCCAATTTTTTTTTATCTCTGCGGGCACTCCCCCAAAAAGTCTAAAAACCGGAACAGCTGATTGTGTTTTTGTTGTCGGCGGGGTTAATTAGTCAGGCAGTGTTGCTGCCATGAATACGGAAAAGAACTTAACAATTTTTTAGCGTTTAATGGCCAATTTTTCAGTGCCAGTTTAAACTTAGATTGATTAAACTGNTGCCATGAATACGGAAAAGAACTTAACAATTTTTTAGCATTTAATGGCCAATTTTTCAGTGCCAGTTTAAACTTAGATTGATTAAACTGAGTTTAAATGTTCAATTTAATTTTTATTGGCTGATCTTAGTTTAAACCAGCCGGACCAGGCGTTTAAACTTAGTTTAAACCACGGCCGTGCACTGAATAACTGGCCCTTAAACAACGTAGACCTTTACGTTATCTATAAATTTAGTAAAGTTGACAACCCCATTGTTCACAATTTACGGTCTCTCATCCGATTTGACATTTGTTTCACCTGACTACTGACATTTGTGGATGAGTAATTTTTTGTTTTTTTCGGTGTTTTTTATTTAGATTTTGTCACCTTTTCAGAGGAACACGAAAAAATACAAAGATATCCAAGATTTAAATATTTGTGCATTTACTTCAATTTAAGATTAACAAATCAAATTCCTCATCATGGATTGGCTGTTTGGAAAGAAAATCTCACCGGATGAGATGCTGCGCAAGAACCAACGCGCCCTCAATCGAGCTATGCGTGATCTGGACAGGGAGCGAATGAAAATGGAGCAGCAGGAGAAAAAGATTATTGCGGACATAAAACGTATGGCCAAGGAAGGACAAATGGACGCAGTGAAAATTATGGCCAAGGATTTGGTACGCACACGGCGTTATGTGAAAAAGTTCATGCTGATGAAGGCCAACATACAAGCCGTTTCGCTGAAGATACAAACTTTGAAGTCCCAGAATACAATGGCGCAAGCGATGCGCGGTAAGTAGCAATCAATGGCTGCATGTGATGACGACATTGCCAAATTTTATAATGAGACAAAAATATCAAACGTTTTGTTTTGCTTTTACAATGATAGGCGTTACGAAGGCGATGCAAAATATGAATCGCCAAATGAATCTCCCACAAATTCAAAAAATATTGCATGAATTCGAAAAGCAATCCGAGATCATGGATATGAAAGAGGAAATGATTAACGAAGCTATGGACGATGCAATGGAGGATGAAGGTGATGAAGAGGAGACTGACGCAGTGGTTGCACAAGTGCTTGACGAACTTGGCTTGCAATTGGGCGAACAATTGGGAGACTTACCAACTGCCTCTGGCTCGCTGTCTATTGCAGGTGGTGTAAAGAATACACCAGCTGCAGTGACAGCCGGCGGTGTGGGTGGGGGCGGCGGAGGAAATGGTAATGGTGGCAACGGTGGTGGCGCTGCAGCTGCTGGGGGAAGTGGTGCTTCGTCACCAGTGTCTGATGCGGACGCCGACTTGCAGGCGCGTTTGGATAAACTTCGACGAGACTAGGGCTGGGATGCACCCCATTTAAGATGAGACCGCTTCTTACACTGGTTGCTTGCGCTTTGCTACACATTTTAAATATTTTTTCTATTAAAATATGATTTTGATTTTTTTTTGTTTGAGAATACACGAGCTATTTGTCCTGTCATATGGTATTACAAACACGAAGTTAGCAAAGGGCGAATTGCATTGTAGGAATGTATGCCTGTACAAGTATTTGAGCCCGCATATGAGAAAGAGCAATTGTAATTTGAAATATAATAAATAACATTTATGTTTTACTTATTTATAAATTACTATTTCTATGTACAAAAAAAAAGAACAACTGACAATAATCTAGTAACTCATTCAAAAACCGATCCAATTTGAATTATATATACGTATGTATATACATACATTGCTCCTTTCATGACTAAACCTGGAGTATAGATGGGTACTAATTGGCAAATTAAGTATTCAAGTAGGCCGCTTAAGGTTTATCACTGCACTTTCTATCTACCGTAATGCTAGTTCCAAGTGAAAATGAGCGGAAATATATTTGTTGATACAAGTGTTTTAAGCAACATCAATTACGATGGTATGTATTTACTATAAACATGCATTTACTTAGGTATAAGTATACTTCTTCGTAACCCACATGTAACCTTAATTAAGATGCTTGCTGAGTAAACTTTTTTTATTTAAACGCGCAGTCTTGTGTACTCTTATCTTTGACTGCGTAATAGAGATGTATGTACATACATACTTACTACATATGTGTACATACATATGGTCGTTTAAAGTACAAAAGTTTGCGTTTATAGTTGAGTTCGTCTGAAAATCCACCCTTTCAGATTATTTTTTCGTATATTTTATAATTTTTAAGTACATACTTACTGATATGTGATTTGCAAATATTGCTTTTGCCTTTTATCTACGGCTTTGCCCTATTATCAAAAACTTTAAGTAGATACATATGTATTTACTTTTCATGAAATTTATTTGCGTGTCTTAAGCCAAATTCATACATTTCATTTTTAAATTGCCCTCAAACTGACCTCAACGTACTGACATCATAGGTGAACCACCAATGAATGAATATATATATTAAATATATTAAATTTAAACNGTAAGTAGATACATACGTATTTACTTTTCATGAAATTTATTTGCGTGTCTTAAGCCAAATTTCATACATTTCATTTTAAAATTGCCCTCAAACTGACCTCAGTGTACTGACATCATGGGTGAACCACCAATGAATGAATATATATATTAAATATATTAAATTTAAACATGGTCAACAAATACACAGAAAGTTAATATTGTAGCCACACACTTAACTCTGTACATTTTTATAACATTTTGCTAGCATTCGTAAAACTTTCATATCGTATATACCTAGTACACACATGTATGTAGTGTTTGTATAATTAAGTATTTTATTTTCTAATATCCATTTTAAAATAAGTTAATGATCTTTTGAAACGATTTTCGCATCNTTTGTGTTAAATACTTTTTTATAACATTTTGCTAGCATTCGTAAAACTTTCATATCGTATATACCTAGTACACACATGTATGTAGTGTTTGTATAATTAAGTATTTTATTTTCTAATATCCATTTTAAAATAAGTTAATGATCTTTTGAAACGATTTTCGCATCATTATACCGCCATATTATAACGCCAGGTAGCGTAGTTCATTAAATTACTACAAGTAGCTTTACTTGAAACCAGCAGCTGCAAATACTTCTTCAACTTGCTTAAATACTTCATTAGCTATTGGACTAGCATCGATTTTTTTCACTTTTCCTAATTGTTCGAAATGTTTGATAATTGGCAATGAATCATTGTTGTACGTTTGTATGCGCTTCTTTAAGCTCTCCAAGTTATCATCACTGCGACCAGAACCACTTTGACCTCGCGACAAGCAACGTTCCACGCACTTATCTTCACCACAATCGAAGAATAAGACAAATTGAAAATCTACTTTATCGCCCATCTGTCGTGTCCAACCATCCAGATTATCTTGATTACGTGGAAAACCATCAATAAGGAATTTTTGTTGGCCAGAGTTCTGCATCGCTTTCTCGAGCAGTGAGCATGTCACTTCAACGGGTACAATTTTACCATTGCGTATGTAGTCTTCAATTAGNCGTTGGCCAGAGTTCTGCATCGCTTTCTCGAGCAGCGAGCATGTCACTTCAACGGGCACAATTTTACCATTGCGTATGTAGTCTTCAATTAGCGTACCATATTCAGAACCCTGACGAGCACGTTCCTCCCGTAATAAATCGCCCGCAGAGAGATGTACAAATTGGTAACGCTCTACAATTTTGGAGCATTGCGTTCCTTTACCAGCACCGGGACCACCCAATACAAAAACGATTTGCGGCTTCTGTTCTGCTGGCATTTTGCGTTGATTTAATTTGGCGTTGGAACAGTGTGCAACTACTTTGTTGTTTAATAAATGTACAACTGATTTGTTATAAAACCGCGTAGGTACTAGTAATTGCTGCTGTGTTGCGATAATTTGACGGCAGGTGGATAAGGCTGTTGGATAATTGAACTTGGACAGGTCACGCTGCAAATAAGTGCCACCACATCTAAATGCTGCGCCAAGCATCAAATTGGTTTACCTGTATACGTATACTGAAAGTGGTTGATTTTACCCTTCGTTTATATTTCCTCCTATAAAATGTTTCATCAGCTGTCTGGTGCGCGGACTTTTCGACTTTTGGGCTTATTTAGTTATTTGTGGTGTGCGGAATGGGCAATGTGTAGCTTCGACAATCACGTTCTCCCACTTTCTCAGCTACGCAAGTGATTTAAAATAAACAAGTGACAAATTTTAAATGATATATATATCTCACTCTCGCACATTTCCGGTGGGAAAAATGCAGTTTAAAAAAAGACGGTGCATCTCTGCGATCAAAGTGCAATAAATAACAACAAGACTGGTTTTTAATTGATTATTCTATTAAACAAGATTTATGAAACAGTGGAGTATATTTGTTTTGCGGTTCTGCTGATAAGTGAAATATTTATAATCTAAATTTTGTGGTGGATACATTTCTACCCATCGTCTACAGGGTGCCTCAGATGGTAGGAAAATCTAACTGAAATAAGTGTGGTTTTGTTTTGATGATGCATTTTCGAACGTCTCTTTCCCCAATTAATTTAGCTCATTCGGCATTTGTTTGTTTTACAATTTGATCTACATATCGCACGTCTAATAATATAGAGATGTAATACCTTAAAATTTACGTTTTTGGAGATTTTATTATGCAATGATCAGTCTAATAGATATCCAAACTTTCCAAATATGGCAAAGATATGTGTCTTTCCTATCTCTTTTTGTATACCAACTGTATGAATTGATACAACTTTGATTGTATTTTCCCACAAAATTTAAAATAATTCGTTATATATTATTAAACGTGCGCTATATACAGGTCTACTTTGTTTATTTACTGTATTTTAATTTTAAATTATGAACAAATTGTTTGCAACGTAAACGAAAAAATTATTTAAAACGCGGCAGAAATAAAATTTTGTTTATGAGCATGTATGTATGTTTGTCCGCAAATAAGTACCCCTAATCCAGCTTTCCAATAAAGGCACATGATAGAATTGTTGCAGCTACCAGTAGTATGTATTAGATCACACATCACAGCACATATTCTTTGACCTCGTAATTAAATATTTTTACTTTGAAACATACATCATATATATTATTGGTTCTTAGTACAGCATAATTCTTTCTTGATATTTAATATTTGTCATAATTTTCGTCTACTATTCTTATAGTACTATCGCACAAATGCTGGGAGCAGGGTGGCAAATGTCAGATAACCAGTATGTCCTGGTAGCGTTGGAGGCGTTGAACACGTAAGCAATTTCTTCGTTTCTTTAGGCGTTTTAGCGGGTCCGGTTTTTTCATTAGCTGTATCAGTGTTGGGCTCATCCGCTTTCTGAGAAACGGGCTTCTGTAAGAAATTTGTAAAAATATATCTATGTAGGTGATGAATGTGCATAAGTTGGACTACCTTATGTTTAAGGAACTCTAAATCCAGTACTGGAATTGTTCTGGTTTTAACAATATGCTCCTGTTGCAGTACTTCCAATGATCGAATCTCTGTAAAACCATGCTCTTGTAGAGCAATGCAACACCGTTGCGACTGTTCAATACAAGGCGAAAAAGAGCAAAACCGTCCACCTACAGCAGCATCAATTAAAATTTGAGTTTAAAAGATAATAAATCGCATTTCAACGTACCCTCTGCCTTTAGTGTTTTCGCAGCAAAAGGTACGGCTAGTTGTGGGGCTGGCAAGTCCAAAAATACTGCATCCGCTTTTCCTTCCAATTCATTGCCGAAACCCAATTGACATACATCACGATGATAAACACTAACGAATTCACCTAAGCCATGTTGCTCAAATTCTTCCCGTGCTTGTTGTACTCGCGCTTCATGGAAATCAAATGTGTGTAAATGGCCATGTGGTTTTATGGCACGCAAGAAGTAATGCGACAGCGAAGCAGAACCTGTACCTGATTCGACAATCACCGAACCAGGACGTACCTCAAGTTGAAAAAGTATCATACTAATATCAGGTGTATAAATGATTTGTGTCCGATGTGGTAATGTTTGTGTCCATAGTTCTGGATTTGGTTGCAATACATAAGCCCAGCCTTTGGATAGTTCCACTCGACTGCCATAGGCGACTCCAATTAAGTTTCGCACTTTTAATGCACCGTATGACGTTTGGAATATCTACATAAATAAAAGGTTGTTTATCATTTGAGAGGAAAATAAATATCGAAACGCTTACATATTCAATTGTTTCGCCTTTCTTGTTTACTATGGTTGGAGTCGCTTGGATTGCATGCATTGAATTAACAGTAAGGTAGAGTATCACTGTGTCACCCTCTTCAATTATGTCTTTTGGCTTCAGAAAACTCATTTTAGCATTAATTACAAAAAAATAAATCGTTTAGCAAATTTTATACAGAAGCACGCCGTTTAGAATTTGTAAACAAACAATTTGACATTTGTTCGCCGGCAGGCGGGCCGGCAGCAGTGTTGCTGTTGCACGACTAAAGGGGCAATTTGACCCTTTTTCAAGCGCCAATACCCTTTAGCCCGACGTTTAGAAAATTATGGTTTTTGACCATTTTTCAAGATTATGAGCGACTTTTGCCCCTTTTCAAAGAGTTTTTTAGGAAATGTTAGTAAAGAAAAGCAAAACTAATATGGTGGCCCTTATTTTCGTCAATGATCCCTTTTTGCGACTTTATAAAAATTCGAAACGGCAACACCGGCCAACAGTTATCGGATGTTTCGTGCCTGACAAATTGACGGGTGACACAGATGATCTGAAAATAATGTATTTTTAAGGCTTTTTAGAAAAAAAAAAATAGCATGAATTGCATAACAATTATTATTCGGTTGTTATACTTTATCACAAGATGATGGTTTTGAGAAAAACCAACTCTTCTTATACACATCCACAAAACTTTGTGAAAAAAGGTATGACAGTAAAAAATGTTTGACAAATTAATTTGTTTACATTTGTGAAGTGATGAAAAATATTTCCTCTTCACGTTTTCACAGAATAGGAATTGACCCCCTGGTTTTAATTTCATATGTGGTATGTTATGTAATGTTATGTTGTATCATGTTATGTTAAGCTATGCTATGTTATCTATGCTATGCTATGCTATGTTAGTTATGTTTTGTTACGTCATTTCAAATTAATTTTAATAAACGAAAGACTTGAGCAACAAACTTGACAAATGATGTACACACATCAGTACACACGTATGTAAGCAAATGTGAACATCTACATGCTTACATACAAAACGCGCGAAAAAGAATTGTAAATCATAAGTATGAAAATGAAGCCAAAATACGGCGTAAATGTACTAACATAAAAAAAAGTAGAATTCCCAGCAATAATCAAAACTAAATTGTTGCTCGTTTGTCAGTTGATTAAGCAACGGGATAAAAATCTTGATATTCCGGCCGCAAACGAAGCCGCAGCCGCAGTTGTAGACGTCATTGATGCTATGACCACAACTGACGCTACATACAAACATATGTATGTACATGTGCACACATGAGCAGTTGTGTAACTTGTAGCTGCCGCAACTTGTGGCAAGTAGAAAAATCTCTCATGGCATACAAGTGATGTGTGTGGAAAGTGCGCACCGCTGCTTGACCGCCGCCTGTACTACGGCTGGTGTGCACTCGGGATGCCGCAACGGTGATGCACCGATATAGCTGAAGTACTGACTGACTGACTGCCTCACTGACTGCTATGCAAGTTGAAGGACCGACTACTGTCAGCAACAACCTCTTCGATGGCTGCAGTGTTGGTTGAATTGACTGTTGGACGGTTTGACAAAGCAGCTGCTGGGTTGACTGACTGACAGCCGCTGCTGATGATTTTTTGATGACTGTTGTTGTGCTTGTTGCTAGTTTTAAGGTTTTTTACCGATTTTTATTTTTTTTTGATATGTCCAATGCGCGTCACTGGAAAATTCTACATAATCAACACTTAATGTGCGTGGAGAAATAATAAAAAAAAACGTTAGAAAAAGTGTCCAGCGCATTCTATATATATGCATACAGACATACATACATATGTACATATATACTTACCACAAAATATTGGCCGCAGTCACAACGAAGCTCAGTGCCTGCAATGAGTGGAGATTGGCCACTGATCACGGCATTTATAGATCGAGGGTTGTGGTAAGTGGTGGCTGACCAGTTCGCCCCATAACCTGACCATATAACCTGAACCCTAGCTGACCCAACGCATTAGGCCTTATGACGGCTGTGACTGCGTCCTTAGCGCTTACACTCCTCCTACTATGTAGTGACTCCAACTCAAATGGTGGAGTCTCGACTTTTTGCGCCATATAACTAGAAGCCAACACAAACGACTCCTCTTTCTACTTCCCAAGGTGACAACTGCAAGATGTCACCAAACTTTGCGTGAATAACTGGCGGAACATAGAAAAGAAAAGAGGCAAATGGCGAAGTTTTTTAGTCTCGGCCAAGACCGGGTGTGAATTAAAGAAGATGTGCTTGAGGATGAACCTCCATCGAGGCACACCAGAAGGCTTATTTTGGAGTATATGAACAGGGTACATTCTTATATACATCGACCAACTAACGGCATTCATAGAAGGTCGCTCACCATCTAACATGACTACAGTCTGGATATGATATTGTAGCCGCCTAAACAGCTACTTAGATGTGTAGGCTTGACCAATAAATGTCCGGCAAGTGGAGACTCGCCCCATGACACTAACCACCGCTTCACATGTCAGCTAGAGCCTACTCCCTCTCGTCCAACCCCGCCGAAACGGCTCGTTTACTGGATTACCGTATGTCAAAGCTTTTTCATTATTACTTAAAAATATATGTATTTAAGTACATACAACTACATTCTTATGTAAATTTGTTTTATTTACGAGGAGGAAGCATTGTAGATTTTACCCCGTCAATGTTAGATTTTAATCCGAACTAAACCTCATAACGTTCAGTACCGATTCTCCAGGTACTAGCGCTAGGTGTTTCGTCGGTAGATGGCTTAAGCACGAAGCTCACACATACGTCGTACGTTACTGTTCTAGCGTATTCAGTTTGTTTGTCATTAAATACTACCACCCCATCGACCGTATGGGTCAAGATACTGGTTTAACTTTACCTTTCCATCATAACGGTTTATCCACGCTTCGAGATTTGGTATTATATAGACGGTGGATCCAACGTCCCTTGCTGCTCGCATCCCACCGCCTTTGTCTGTACGGCAGGGTTTTCTTTTTCGCTGTTAGAGGTAATTTTTCCGGTGCTTCGAAGTTGGTTTCCTAACTAAGAAGGCTATCGGATGTAGACCTGCGCGACAACCAGGGTGGCGTCTTCGGATACTGTATGAAATGCATAGCATACCCTAAGAGCGCCAATTATATATATATATGCCATACCACACCTGTAGGACTTAGTATCGAGTGCATTTGCCCAAACTTGCGGATCATACAGTGACACCGACTCGAACACTCCGGCTAAGAGTCGTCTCCTATTTTGTTTGGGACCACGTTCATGGGTTCATGGCGATATTTTCTATAGCTATTATTTTACAAATCTGATGTTTCAATAACAATTTTACGATTTTTATGCATAAATCTCGATGCCTGGAGTTCAGGAGGGTTACCAAATCTCATTTTTGCCACATCGGCGATTTAGGCGGTTTTGCAACTGGTCTATGGGCGGTTTTGGGAAAACATCTACGCGATATGTATGTGTGTGTGTGACCGTATGCATTCGACTAAATTGTGTTAAATGGCCTGCATAATCACATCACATATTATTCCTGAATTGCGATTAATCTCGATTTGCAAGTAGGTAAACCCATTTAAGTGGACGTGAATGCACACATAAATACACACATAAATTTGTGTGTGTATGAACCTATTTATGTACATACATTACATATGTATGTATGTATAAGTGCGCAACGATGAACTGCCAGGCGGGCAAATGCGGCAGACAAAAATGGACAAAATCGCCTGACAATTAGTATGAAAATTTGCTAACAAACATTTGCCGGCGATCGGCGATCAGTCAGCGGAACAGCAAAAACAACAACAACGCACAGTTTAGTAATGTGCTAACGTGGAAATGTTGGCGGCGACAGCAACAAATGTGACGACAGACAATTTAGTGGCAGCAATGATGTTGCAGCAACAGCAATTCAGCCTACCTCTATATGTAGCAAGCATGGTCCAGCAGTATGCAACAAACAACAAAAACATGTTGCTGTTGCAATTCAAGAAGACACCAAATAACACAGCACAACACATCACAACATCAATAATGAAGAGGAAGAGTTAGTGTGGAAGGAAGGATTGAAAGGGAAATAGCAGCGGGGTAAGGTGCGGAGCGGAGAGGAGCGCAAAGTAAGCTTATGCACATTGGCATTTCTGTAAGTGTTCATACAGACATACATACTTATGTATATAAGTATATGTAAGCACGTGTGTATTTGCTTGTGAATGCTTGCTTACCAGCAGCACTTAACATCAATCA